GAGGGAACTAAGCTCTGTTAAAAAGAAAAACATCTGTAACCACAAGACATGAATTGAGAACAGTAAGTCAGACAGTTCCTATTCTACAATTCCCACGTGATTTTTTTAGTTGTGTAACATTATGTTATAGTGAACAGCAGTAACAAACCATTAGAGCTGGACTTTGGGGGAGGAGTGGGCTCTTTGATGCTAGTTATGAAGGGAGAGGAGTCCAAAGAACAAAAACAAAAAATGAAAAAGATAAAAAGAAATAGAAAGTTGAGTAGAGGAGTCTTGCTTGACCCACCAGTCCACTCTTTTTGAGTTGGAGTCTCACTTTGTTGCCCAGGCTGGAGTGCAGTGTCACTCTCACAGGCACCCCAGTATTGACCTGCTGGGCTCTGGTGATCCTTCTGCCTCAGTCTTCCAAGTAGTTGGAACTACAGGTGTGTGCTACCACACCCAGCTAATTTTTTATTTATTGTAGAGACGAGGACTTGCCAACTTGCCTGGGCTGATCCACTTGCCTCAGCCTCCCAAAGTGCTGGGATTACAGGCTGAGCCACCGAGCCCGGTCACCAGTCCACTCTTAACCCATGAGGCTCTTTGCTTCGATTGAGGGGGTGTACATTACAGGGAGAGTGTTATTATTACTTCATATGCATTTGACCTTTCTCCCAGAGCAGAGCCTACAAATGGTCTGGTTGGCTAGCTCTTATTTATTTAGCACAAAGACACCTGCTTTTATAACCTTGCCCTCGCTACCCAGCCGGTTTCTCCAAGCTCCAACATAGTGTTGGGAGCAGACCTCCACATATGTGGTGCAGAGGCTGGATGGGTCAAACTATTTCATAGGTCAAAGACGCTGCTGCCGTTAGACAAGGTGGACTGTGAATATGGGGATCAGGCTTCAATTTTACTTATTTTTTTGAGTTGGGGTCTCACTGTATCGTCCAGGCTGGAGTGCAGTGGCATGATCATGGATCACTGCAGCCTTGACCTGGGTTCAGGAAATCCTTCCACCTCAGCCCCAAGTAGTTGGGACTATAGGCATGCCCAGCTAATTTTGATTTTTTTTTTTTTTTTTGAGGCCTCATTTTGTTGCCCAGGCTAGTCTTGAACTCCTGGGCTTAAGCAATCCTCCTGCCTTGGCCTCCCAAAGTGATGGGATTACAAGCATAAGCCATTGTGCCTGGCCTGGTCTCAATTTTTGACAATACCACCAGTTAGTTGATGACTCAGGTCAGTTACTTGGCCCTACTGAGGCAGTTGCTAAAATGAGCTATGCTACCTGCTCCATGGGGATTACTGAGAAGACCAAGTAAGACTCAATTTGCAGAGTGTTTATGTGTGAAAAATGTGCTGGCGGGGTGTGGGAGTAATATACATTCCAAAAATGTAAAAAATAAACTTGCCATTCAAGAGTATAATCATTATTCAATGGATGAGACTGACCACAAGCTGCCTTTTGGAAAAATGTGACTGAAGAGTTTCCCAATGTCCACAACCACAGTAACCAGAGTGTAATCTTAGGAGGGCAGATCTGGAACATGGCTGTATTTGGGGAAGTGGAAGCTAAAGACAGGAGTCCAGTTCTCACATACCAATCGATGAGCATACAAATCACCAAGGAAACTTGCTAGAACCAGAGTGCCAAGTTGTACCCCAACCTTAGGGAATCCATCACTCAAGAGGGTCCTAGGAACGAATCTGTGGTTTAAAAACTTCCAGCATGGATGCAGTGATTCACGCCTATAGTACAACACATTGGGAAGCTGAGGTGGGAGGAATGCTTGAGGCCAGGAGTTAGAGGCCAGCCTGGGCAACAGAGCAAGAACTTGCCTCTACAAAGAATATAAAATTATCTGGCATGGTGGTACACACTTGTAGTCCTAGCTACTCAGGAGGCTGAGGTGGGAAAACTGTCTAAGCCCCGGAGGTTGAAGTTGCAGTGAGCTGTGATCGCGCCACTACTCTCCAGTATGGGCGACAGAGTGAGACTCCCACTCAAAAACAAAACACCTCTGGCCTAGAGCATAAAAAAGCAGCTGGAGGTGTGGTTTCTAGGTAGTCAACAGTCACATTCCATTGGGGAACACTGCAGTGAGGGGAAAAAAAGAGGAAATCCAAGAGCAGAGGCAATCTGGACAGGAGTCCACGTGCAGTGACAATATGCAAATGAAGTATTTGCATGTTTTCCATCAGGAATGATTCATATAAGATACACAAATCTCTTTAAAGATTGCTTTTGCTATACGTCTGGCTTTTCCCTTTTCACAGAAACATCCCATTGTCCAATATATATGTTTTTCCAGTAAAATATAATTTACTTTGTTTTTACTCTTTTGTAGAGGTGAAGTTGCCAGGTTGACTAGGCTGGTCTTGAACTCCTGGGCTCAAGTGATCCTCCTGCCTCCACCTTGCAAAGTGCTGGGATTACAGGTGTGTGCCCAGTCATGATTTACTTTTAATATTTAAAAAAAAATCAGGAAAGGGCAAGAGCTATTAGGAGTGTTCTCTTTCTTTATTTCTCTTTGGTTTCTTAACACAAAAGACATGCATTCTATAAATAAAAGGAAATAAGATTTTTAGGGAAACAATAAAGTGGGGGAGGGGTGAAGGGCAGAATTCCTAGATAGTCACATCTCAGTGGTCAAGTCAAGAGACTGGTCTTCAGCTCCCATCTGGCTGTTATCTCAGATGAAATCTAAAAGAGAAGGTTCTGTGTGTTATCCAAGAAGGTGGAATGCTCAAGGACAGTGCCGCCACAGTCCTTTGGCTGAGTTGGGCTAGACCCCAAGGCCTACTGAACACAATGTGTGTCCTACCTCCTTATTACGTCCTTTTCAAAATATCCTTGGGTGATGTCTCTTCTTTTCATGTGGCTGTTGGAAAGCCTCCAACACCAAAGAGCTAGCCCAGTCACTTGCAAACAGCCATTTGCCATCAGGCTGAGGAACTGATTGGGAGAGTTTAAAAATGTTGGTGTTTGCTCACTTGTGCTTGGGGCCCAGATCGATGCATTGCCTTGATCTTACTTGGAAACACTGACCTCAGTGCAGCAGTGTAACTTCCCAGTTAGGAAGTAAAAATGGACTCAGGAAGGCCACTACAAGAGCAGGGGAAAATGATCTATCATCCCCAGTGGCAAAACTGGGCCAGCATCCTAAGGACCCAGTGAGGCCCACTCAGTAGCCCACTGACAGATTTTTTTTTTTTAAAGACAGGGTCTCACTCTGTCACCTAGGCTGGAGTGCAGTGGCGTGATCACACCTCACTGCAGCCGCCAATTCCTGGGCTCAAGTGATCCTCCTGCCTCAGCCTCCTGAGTAGCTGGTGTGTGTGCCACCATGTCCGGCTAATTTAAAAAGTTTTGTGGAGATGAGGGTCTCGCTATGTTGCTCAGGCTGGTCTTGAACTCTTGGCCTCAAGCGATCCCCACCTCAGCCTCCCAAAGTGCTGGGATAACAGGTGTGTGCCATCATGCCCAGCTGACAGGTTCTTAACACCTTTACAATCCAGGTTCATCAGTGCTGTTTCAAATTCACAAAAGAAAGGGGCTTTATAATAAAATGAGCACTGATATACTCCTAACAGGAAATACACACACTAACCTCCTTCTGAGTCTACCTCCTTAGGCAAACCAGGAGAGAGGAAGAAACAGTGGAGCTCCACTAGGAGCCCAGGTTAAACTATATCAGATATCAGATTGTTGAGACTTTTAAAATAAAAATATCATTTTCAAGTGCTTGTAGCAGAGGCCCAGCTCCTAAGTTGCAGCTAACAAAGGTACTTCCCTCTGAATACATGGCGATTGCACACACTAGTAAACCTGAAGGTCCTGGGGTGGGGAAGACACCCAGGCTCTACATTGTGCCTTTCTGAACAGGCTTCCAGGCCATTCACCCTGGGCAGGCAGCAAAGGACAGGAAACCTACCAGATAGAGATTGGGACTCTAAGACCCAGATTTGGGTTAAAGAAGTTGTATCCTCTTTTAGTCTCTACTAGAAGAATTTTAGAAAACCAGATTTTGGCAGCAGCAGTTGAAGGACAGCCCCACTGCCCAGTGCACTGGTAAAAGAAAATGTCTTCCTCTTTGGGTCCCAATGTGCTATATTAAGGTCCCATCCAGGGAGAAGGAGGAAGGAGTATAGAGTCTCTTTAAGAGGTCTTTTGCCAAGATTAGAGGAAGAAATATAAAATCTGTTCTTTGCAGCAGCAAGAGATTCTTTCAGCCTTTAGTTCTTTATGTCATAAAGCCAGCTTGCTCAAATGTAAAGGTCCACCATGCTGGTCAGTCTGCCAAGGGCTGGAGGGAGGTCAGAGCCCTGGAATTGGCGAGTGGATGAAGGAGCAGTGTGCAATGGTGGGGGTAGACAAGGTCACCAGACCAAGCCAGCCCATGGCTGGTAGAAGGAGGAAGCCCCTGGTTAGCTTCTAGAGGTGCAAATGGTCAATGTGCCCCAGAAGCATCACAATGAGGAAAATCGTCCAAGAACGACAGATGGGCAAGTGAGAGTCTGGCTAGACCTGCTGTTTCCTGCTGGTCAAAAAAGGAAGGAATGTGAGAGTGGGAAGTCTGAATGAGCGCCGCGGTAGCAGTGGGAGGTAATCACAGGGGCATGTGGAGCCCCCAGCGACTGCTAAGAGCTCCCACCTAGAAGAGTGGCAGTAATTCAGCCGACAGCTGACTTGCTAAGCCTACGATTAAAAAAGTCCTCTGATGGTCGGTGTGAAGACAAACTCCATGAGCACCTTGCTTCAGAACCAGTCAAGAATGCACTGATTCCAGACATGCTGAGGCTCAGAGGGAACCACAGCATTATGCGAGGCCTCAGGACCCTGGGATCCGAATGTGGAGTGGACACCACCCGTCTCATGTCAGGCAGCTTTCCATTTAAACACGTGTTTGCCTTCAGCGTCTTTTATGCTTTTTTCTTCCTGTAATATACATTCACATAAAAAAGTAATTTTCTTTTCCAGTTTCTTTCAAGTGTTGCTTTGTTTAAATTTCCTTCAGTTTCTTTCAAGTATCTTTTATTTCCCTTCTGTTTCTCCTGGACAAGATGAAAAAGACCTCACTGAAATCCCAAAATTAGACATGCAAAAAACTTCTGTTTTCCCTGCTTACCCAGTGATGAGGACAAAATCCTCTGTGCCCTACAATAGAAGAAGGAATGTGCTTGTGTGCAGCCGGCCCAGTGCTGCAGCCACACCACCACAGGCAGGGAGAATATCTGGAGTATGTCCTTTGTCGCTCAGCTATGCCCCACAGTTCCCAACAGGCTTGGCCACTGCAGGTTCTCCATGGCAAATTGGTCCCGACATGGCTGGAGAACAAGCAGACAGGGAGGAGCGTCAGATGGAAGGCTTTCTGTAGATGGGTGGCCCACAGAGCTGCGGTGGGTGGGACCTAGGCTTGGATGGAGCTTGTTGTTCGTGTGGACCAGCAAATAGTTTCATGTCACCAGCTGTGGGACCCAGAGGGGCTTCTGTCCCGTGCTATGCATCTTGAAGACCCAGGCCTGAAGGTCACAAGGGCAGCACAGTGAGGGAGGACTTAAGCACCTGGAAAAACTGTACCTTCGGCGAGCTCACATTTCACCCCATCTTCTGGTCTGTTGCTGCTCCTGAGGGATTATTCCTGGAAGGAAGTGCCTATAACTGTACCAGATCCCTCCCACATCCTACCCTATGTCTTAGATGGTAAGGAGAGGGATACAGCCCACACCAACCCCTCCCTCATGGCACCCCATGGGGGCCATAAATGTCCAGCGGTCCGTCTCTGGGTCATACATCTCCACTGAGCTGAGGTTTGACTGTCCATCATAGCCCCCCACAGCGTAGAGGCGCCCACAGCTGGCCACGAGGGAGACCCGACTCCGGCGCGTGTGCATGGGCACTATCAGGCACCACTGGTCTGCCATAGAGCTATACATCTCAGCGATGCTGAGGAAGCCAGAGCCATCGTAGCCCCCACAGACAAACATCTTGCTTCCCAGGGAGGCGGCTCCATGCCGGCAGCGCTTGTTGAGCATGCCAGCTGCTGGGTACCAGGTGGCTGTGTGATGGTTGTAGTGCTCCACCTGCAGTAGGGAGAGAGGCACAGGTAAGGGGCAGTCAGAGTCAAAGCTCAGTCCCAGGAGTGACCTTGCTGGGCACAGTGACCCCTGTGATGGTAGACTCCTGTGGGAGGCCCAGGAACAAGGTGCACTGCCCACATGTGCTCTGGGCAAATGGGGCAGTGAGAGGCCATCTCACCTGACACCTTCTGTTTGCATCTAAAGAAACAAATAAAGGATGTGCCCAAGATTGAGCTGCTAAGAGCTGGGTCTCCTGTCACTTGTCCGTGGTACTTTCCACTACAACACTGATGGACTCTATGGAACCACTAATAAATGATCATTGAACTTTTTTAAAAGAATAAATGCAATTTCAAACAACTTATGCAAAGGAATATAAATGATTGTAAATTCACACTTGGTTTACAATTGTGCTTACTGTAAGTTCTCAGCTGGACCCCTGTAACAACCTCTCTACAGGTCTAATGCAAGGTCAAATGCAGCATTTGATGACAGTTGAACAGGGTGGTTGTGGTGGTGGCAGGTGTGACTATACCTTGCCTCTCCTTTGTGGCTTCCATTCTTTGGAAGTTAAGAAAATCAGGAGATGCAATATATGGCCTGAAACCTCATTAGATGATGCTTTATCTAGCAATGACAAGGCTGAAACTTTTTCAAACAACTGTCTTTCAAAATAACTCTCAAAGATGGAAGGAGTAGGTGCCCTTAGCCCTGAAGAGCCCACACTCACACTGTTGAAGATCTGCAAACCATCATGGCCGCCTGATACATATATCCTGCCCTCAAAGACCGTAACCCCAGCAGCACTGCGGTTCGAGCTCATCGGGGTCACCACTGTCCACCTTCAGGAAAGAGTCAAAATAGAAGGGGAGGCATGAGATTCAGGGTTTCTGTTCTCCCAAACAGTTCAGCAGGGTTTGGGTGAACTGTGTTGGCCATCCTCCCACATCTTATCCGTCTCCCACTGCTTCTGCTGATGGCTCTCTGGCTGCTGCCTCTCACCCAAGCTTCAGACCCATAGCCTGTCTTCTCTGCTCATCTCCATGGATACTCAAAATCAGCATGTCTAGAACAAGGCCCCTCTCTCCTACAAATCAGCTCCTTCTCTGCACTCTCTCGTGTTGTTCATGGGACCACCAGCTATCTAGTTTATGTACTTATGGAATTCAGTGGTTTTTTTGGCTTCTTCTCTCTCACCCCCAACATTCCTGTGGTCCCCGAGTGCTGGCTGGTTTGCTTCCTAGTCATTGCTTACTCCCATTCCCCCTACCAACACCCGAGCTCTGGCCTCTTAGCTGGACCCCTGCAACAACCTCCTTACAGGTAGCCTGGCTTTCACACCTTTCTTGTCCGACCCCATGCAGCCAGAGGGATCACTCTTCCAATGGCTACAACATGCCCCTTCAGTGGTGCCTCACTGTCTCCTGTAAGGCAGACTCTGAGTTCCTTCACACCCACTCTGTCTCCTTCCCCATTCTGTGCTCTAGACCATGAGATAATCATTGCTGTCTTCGCTCACAGTGTGTTCTTTCTGACCTAAGCCTCCTTTCTTGCTGTCTGCTGCCTAGATGAGCATCTCTCACTGGTTGTCCATGATAGGTCGCACCTCAGAAGACAACCCTGCCACCCTGCCTTTCCCAGCAACCCTGGAAGAGATGAAGGCGCTCCCTACTCTGTGCACAAGAGCTCCTGACACAGGCCTCTAGAGCAGGATGGTCACGATGCATCTGTGGCCCCCACCACACTGGGTGCTACTTAAAGGATCTCAGACACCCAGCTTACTGCCTGATACATAAGGTTGGTTAAATGAACAAAATATTGGCTTAAAAGCATCTTGATGAGTCCACTCAGCTAATTTGCTTTTATTACATAATATGAGAGGATTGGAATACTGAAATGAAAAATTTAGGCTAATCTTGTCAGTGTTTTTTGAAGAGAGTTCCACAATAGTCCCATAGGATGTTATCATATATAAAACAGGAGGTTAAACAGGATTCTTTATTACAAAATTTTTCAGAGCCTTTAAAATGTTAATATGTATTATGGAAAGACAAGGACTCTGCATTTTCCAAGCTTCCTTAACCATAACTTGTTTTCTTTTTTCCAAATCATATCCTACACACTTTGGAACATGCTGTTCATTTACTTCTTACTCCCTCTTGCCTGCATTTCCATTAAAATGGGCTGATTTAGTTAAGAGATACAAACCATTTGATCAATGTTTTCAAGTATCCATGTAGACTATTTGTTTTAAACATTTATTTAATCATTCGTTCATTTAACCAAAGTTTATTAAATACCTATTATATGCAAAGTCCTATGGGACAAACAAAGTAAGGCATTCTGTACCTCCAAGAAGCTCAAACAAAAAATTGCAGTTCTCATTTTTATACTGTTTAATAAGCTCCAGTGGTCCCCTGGGCAGAGTGAGAGTCCTTACTTGTCTGTCTCAGGTGAGTAGGTCTCCACAGAGTTGAGGGAAGAGTTGCCATCGTAGCCCCCACAGACGTAGATCTGCCCATCCAGCACGACTGTCCCCATGGCACTGAAACAGACAGAGCTGTCATCCCAGATGGGCCTCAGACTTCTTAGGGCAGCTCTCCTGCCCACTGAGAAACAAACCTCACTATCAGTTACATCTTTCCGGAATAGACCTAAATCCCAGGTATGTGACTAAGTAAAAGTATACAACTGAGGCAACCGAACCTGTCCTGTGCTGCCCTTCCCCCAACCCTCCCCTCTTTTCTCAGTCCTTGATCTACCTGAAATTCTCACTTTCTACTTTACAATACCAAGGGTCTAATTTACCATTAAGAGCTAGGTCTAATTGCTCTTTCTTCTTCCTCCCCTCAGCAAGAATTACTTTCTCCTGATCCCACATTCCCAGAGTAGCCTCTTGCTGTATTATTGCACTTGTTACAATCATTCATTCATTCATTCATCAGCTCTTTATCAGTCACTCACAGGGCTCGCTTTCCTACACACTAGGTTTAGAGTAGTAAGCAAGCCAAAGCTCTTGCCCACAAGGCCATCCTGTTCTGGCACCACAGGGCACCAGGAATCTATTACCACCTCTTAACAACTGGGGACCTCCTGGAAGATACGAAAGGGTCTTCATTTATGTGACCTCCCACAGTGATGAGTATGGTGTCTTGCACATAACAGGCCCTTAACATAAGTTGTGTAACTTCTGACTTTTCCCACTTGATTCACGATTAAGTTTAACAAATGTATTTTCATTATATGCATGGCCCCTAATTTGTCTTAGTAGGTGATGCTGCACTCCTGTTTCTTGTGCACTTACTACATGTGTCAGGCACTCTACACTTGCTATTTTCAACCCTTACTGGACCCTGAAAAGAAGGAAGAATCATCATAATCACTGTCCAGTTAGGCAGCTATGGCTTGGGGGTGGGAAGGGTCTTTCCTCAGGGCTGCCCAGGGAGAGGCATGCCTCTGATTCAAATGAAATAAGCCCAACTGCCCCACCCTTCACCATGCCATGATTTCCTAATATCAAAGACTCAGGGGTCTGGCATAATCATGTCATCTTTCATTCTACACAAAGTCTTATTAAGAAATTAAACATGAATGCTAAGTTGCTTGATGTGATTAAGCACAAATGCCAAGCTGCCTGATTCAATGTTTGCAAACCTGATGCTGGAGAAGATTAAACATGAATGTCTAACAAACAGGAGAATAAAATACACTAGGATTACTGCTACCTTTTAAGTGCACATAGTAAAATCAAACTGATCTATACAATGTCCCTTTGAGGGACTTGATAACAGACCCCCTGAGCCAGCCTGAAAGAAGAGAGGGACTTGGTTTAGGCAAGGACCATAGAAAGATGACAGATTCACTAGACATGATTACTACCCTTCTGAATATGGACGCAAAGCAAACATAAAAATTAACTGTTCAACAACAGTATGAGAATGAATAAGAGGTGCCACAAAACTGTATCAACTAAGACCTAAAGGTGCAAGTGAAAAGGGAATGTGTTGACCAATGTGGACTGGAATAGTACAGTGTAAGAAAGCTCCATGGAGGTGGCTTGGAACACTGGCGAAGACAGGAAGGAAACATGGCAGAAAAGAGAGAGCTGTGTGGGATATGTGGAGAGAAGTGACTAAGAACATTTTATGGTAGTCTATAATTTAAAGGGGATAAAATGAAACTGGGCCCACACTACTAATAACAGGGCATTAACCACAGCGAAGGAAAGGAATACCCAAAGGACTTTCCTCCAACACAACACTCCAAACCCAGTATAGCAAAACATCAAAGCAAAGAAGTAACCCAGAGCAGACATATAAGGAAGGACAACTGATTGCAGTCAAAGCAAAAAGGTTATTTGTGGCCAGGTGCAGTGGATCACGCCTGTAATACCAGCACTTTGGGAGGTGGAGGTGGGAGGATTGCTTGAGCCCAGGAATTGAAGACCAGCTTTGACAACATAGTGAGACTCTGTTTCTACAATAAATTAGCTGGGCATGGTAGTGTGTACCTGTAGTCCCAGCTACTTGGGAGGCTGAGGTGGAAGGATCACCTGAGCCCAGGAAGTCGAGGCTGTGATCGTGCCACTGCACTGCAGCCTGGGCAACAGTGAGATCCTGGTTCAAAAGAAAAAAAAAAGGTACTCACGGTTGGGGCATGCAGCAATGAGTCACTCAATCATAGAAAGCTGCAAAGTGGGGCAACCCCTTCAGGTCCCCTCCCACTGTCCTCTCAATAAATCCTGCTTTCTAAAAAAAAAGAAATCTGCAAAGTATCTAAGGAGCACCAATGTGGGGATGGCAGGCGAAAGGAACTGTGAGAGTGTTCTTGGGAGGAGCAGATCTTACAAACATATTTTTTTCTTCCAAAATGAACCTACTTCACAAAACGATCCTTTGTGAATCTAGTCTTACTGGGATGAAGGCAGATCCCTCCTAGCTCATGCCCATATGCTAATAACACTGAATGTGGAACATGCATATCATGGCCAGCACCCACTTTCATGTGGCAAAGGATTTCCACACTAACTCTTCTCTCTCACCATACATGCAGTGCTTTGACCTCACCCCTCCCTTGCCCCAGTCATGTAATCTTACAAGTAGAGACCCTAAAGCATGGCCAGTGAAGGGGTCTGTGAGGGTAACACTTAGATCACAGAATTACAAAGCAAGAAAGGTCCTTAGGGAGTCACTGGTCCAGTGGTTTTCAAACTGCTTCTTAAAAAAAAAATCATGTAATTTTTCCCTTCTAAAATCAGGCATATGCCAAAGAAGCACACTGTGTACAAGAGACTGATACAGAGCTGTCCTGGGTAAATAGGCAGGGCCTTGGACTGCCTTCCTCTCCTGCCTTGAGCAGTATCGGCCCTTCCACCACCCAAACATGCAAGTATTCCACCAAATGTCTGACATAAGGAAAGATGCCACCTGTCACCTCAGCACTAAGAAGGTTAAATGCAGGCACCACGGGACGTCCTCTAATCCCATTTCTTATTCACATAATGTGAGCAGGCAAGCGGTAGAGGAAACAGGCAGCTGAAATGTGCAGAGTGACATATAAACTTGGTCTACTTTGTAAACACACCCATGTACTCCTGAGAATGTGTGTCTTTTACCCTGAAGTAAAGAGAATTGCTTTGGTTCATACTCACTGGGTAGTGAAAGCACACATGTGGGGGGAGTCCTGGGGAAGGAAAGTATACATAAAAGCACTTGGGATTTCCTTTGATCACTAATAAAGGTAAATCCTCCTTATTCTTCAGGTTTCAACTTTAATCCCACCTCTTCCCTGAAATCTTCCAGACGTTCCAGTCCAGTTTTTCTCCCTCCTTGAATCTTCCATAATACACATTTTCAGTCCTTATCTGGCACTTAAATAACAATACAACTTCCACATGTCCATGTCTCGTCTCCCCACGTTCCTCAAAGGGCAAGGCAGGCAATTTACTTTTAAGCAGATGGGGGCTTGCTCCCAGAAGGTACCGGTAGCGGCTGGCCTGGCTGCAGGAAATTTCCCGGCCAAAGCTTGTGTTTTACTTTATGTGCCCCTGCTCGTCTAGCATGATGCTCCCAGATGCACAGTGTATATACTTGGGCTGCACGTGGCTTCCAGAATACCTTCTCTTGCTATTCATGCTTCCCACTCTGGTCCATGTGTCCGTCTCTGGGTTGTAGGCCTCCACGGTGCTCAGCCGTAGCTGGCCGTCATATCCTCCAATGGCATAGAGGAGCCCGTTCACCACAGCCACACCGACGCGGCTGCGGGCTGTAGTCATGGGATGGCATTTCTCCCAGCGATTGGCAATGGGGTCGAACACTTCCACCACATTCAAGGAATCACCTGCATAAAAATTTGCTACTCAAATTAAAACAAATGAGACCACTTGTTTAGATCATAGCTATTGGGCATTGGTTATATGGAACATTTGACTTCTCTTAGCTAGTCCTACAGAATTACTCAAGGCACAAGGGCCCACTAAGAATTTCAGCCATGAAAACTTCAAACCTAATTCTTCAAGGAAAATTAGAATCAGACAGGAGACATTTAATTTTTAGAGAGAGGGTTGTTTTCAGTTACAATCAGGTACTTCACTTACAGCCAAAGATAAAAGCAAAAGAATAGAATATTTTTTCCACTGGGCCTGCATGGTGGCTCACGCCTATAATCCTAGTACTTTGGGAGGCTGAGGTGGAAGGATCACTTAAGCCCAGGAGTTTGAGACCAGCTTGGGCAACATAGTGAGACCTCATCTCCACTAAAAAAATAAGTAAGTAAATAACTGGGAGTGGTTGCTCAAACTGTAGTCTCAGCTACTTGGGGGGCTGTACGTCACTGCGCTCCAGCCTGGGTAACAAAGTAAGACTGTGACTCAAAAAACAAAAACTCTCTCATTGCTGTGCTTTGGGGCATTTAGCACTTGCCACACTCCAGCACATACTTCTTTTTTTTTTTTTTTGAGCTGGAGTCTCACTGTCACCCAGGCTAGAGTGCAGTGGCATGCTCATGGCCACCACAGACTCGACCTGCTGGGCTCAGGCGATTCTTCCACCTCAGCCTTCCAAGTAGCTGGAACTACAGGTGTGGGTCACCATAACAGGCTAATTTTTAAAAATTTATTTATTGTAGAGATGAAGTCTCACCAAGTTGCCCAGGATGGTCTCAAACCCGTGGGCTCAGACAATCCTCTCACCTCGGCCTCCCAAAGCACTAGGATTATAGACATGAGCCACCATGGCCGGCCTCAGCATGTATTTCTGAGTTGAAGACTTACCTTTTCCAGGTCATATGATTAACAAGCAGCGGCTAGTACCCACTTCTCATTAACCTTCAATTAAAAACAAAACTGCCCAGGACTGTCCACTAATCCCCCTGGGGATGGGGTGGGAATGAAGCTTTCCTGAAAACCTAACTGTATGATACAAAAGCTGCCAATGACACATGTGTGTGATTCCCAGGAGGCATGGGGGGCAGTGGGTGAAGAGTACAAAGTATTACTGACAGTGGCAGACCTTGTGTATTTGGATTATCTTCTTTCTCTTGTGGACATTCTCACAGTCTAACTATATGACCAAATGTGAATGGCCTGTAATAGAACTGGGTCTCTGGCTGTATCCTAGGCAGTAAATGCTGTACCACAGTCAATGTGATATCAGAGGAAAAGTGCTGGTTCAGGAGTCAGGACATCCAAGTTTCAGTCCTTGCTGTGCCAAAACAACCTGTTTGAACACAGCGAGAGTTCTCTGGGCCTCAATTTCCTCATCATAAGGTGAGGGGGTTAGGCCTCAAGGACTCCAAAAGGCCTCTTTAGCACTGATGTTCTGATTCAATGGCATAAATACATGACATGCTCTAACTGCAGAAGGATTATATAAAATCAGGAGGGGCGAGGGCAGTGACAGCACATAGGAGAGGAATCAGAAGGGCCAGGCTGTGTTTGGTGCTTCTTCATCCATGGAATCCAAGATGGGGGTGTCTACAAAGGGGAGTTGGAAGGTACCTGCTGAGTTGAGGCCCCCCACGGCATAGATAAGACCAGCGATTGATGTGCAGCAGCGGGGCCGAGTTCTGAAAGCCGGCACATGGGGCCGGCGTTCTGGCATAAGGTGATAGTCCTTTGCTTCGTCTACCAGGTCCCTGGAATAAGGTGCAAGATGTTAGGACAGGAGGTAGCCTCTCCACCTGGTTCACATTTGCACTTTGAGTCTGGCTCCCCCATCCCTAACTGCAGGGGAAACCTGGGAGGAGAAGGCTTCTGGAAGATTTGGTCTCAACCCATGTGAGTTCTGGGAAAACCATACGTGGCTGGCTATTGAGACATGCTCAAAATTGCAGGGGAAAGATGAGCAGAGACCCCCTCAGCTAGTGTAATCAGAATGAATATCTTCTAACAGACACAGACCAGGCATGAGAAAAACAGGGTGGTGGCTAAAGTGGCTGGGCTTGGGAGGTTTGTCAAGCAGTGACTCACACTCTGCAGTAAATCACCCCCACCTATACCGTGGCAGCAGCAGCCAACCACTCCTGACACATTTCCCTGCCTCACTCATCCCTCTATTCCACCCTGCACACTATATTCCAAGTTTTCTAAGAACCCTTGATAGCTACTCACTGCCAACAAAATTAAGTTCAATCTCCTCAACAGTACTCTCCAGGCTGCTGCTCACAGGACCCTAGGTACCTCCAGCCCTTTCTGACACACATTGCCTGCTACTGACAGGCACTGACTTCCTCCTGAACCAGTTGATGCCAACCAGGGATGGGAAAATGAAGGAGAAGCTGAATATGTGCAAAAATTTTACCAGCAAAGGAGAAACAAAATTCATTCATTGGATATGACAATTTGAAGGAGGATAAACATTTTTCTCTGCTGCTCTGCTTTTATAACAATCCTCCTATAGGTATGCCATCTCATGAACTGTTGAGGTAGCTCTGTGGTGCCATGTTGTCACTGATTTACTCTGCTGGAAACTTCATGTGCTGGTTAGCATGACCTCCTCTTGTTCACCACTAGATGCAAAGACTAAACCCACCAGAGGCCCCCCACCAGAGGCCCCCCACCAGAGCACTACTAATATTCACTGAAGAGGATGAGGAGTCCCATTTGCATCACCATGTGAGCTGCTGATGTGATAGGGTCGGGGCAGGCAGTAAAGGTATTTGTACATTCATAAATAGCTCAGTGGATGAAGATGCTAGAAAGTCCTCAGATAACTCAGGAGAGGAAAGCTCCTTCTGCTTTGATGCTCCCACTTGGCACACTTCTGCTCAAGGTGTAGGTTCGGGTTCTTAACCCTTTCTCTTCCAGGTTCTACACAGACCAATCTGAATGCCATGAATTAGACCAACCACTCCAAATCTTTCCTCCCCTAAGCTGGAACAGGTGACCAGGTCCTCTTCCCTGCCCAGACCCTTGACTTGTCCTATGCAGGCCCATCCTCACTCACCGGCATTTGTGGCAGCAACGCACCAGGTCATCCTGCTGCACTCGGTCTGACAGGAACTGGGGCCTGCAGAGGGGCAGGCGGACATTGGACAACAGCTCAGGCAGGCAGGGCCCCCTCTGCTCCCGGTCATACCTGACCCAGGCCAGTGCAGCTTCAAAGACCTGCCATAACAGAGTGGAAGTTATGGTAGCAACTCTTCCCACCCAGAGGCCACACCCTTGCACTCCCAATCTCTGTTCCTCCATTTCCTATACTGACGCAGTCACTTGGGCCCATCAGTCTTTCCTCCTACTTGTCTCCGAAATCCGATTCTTCCCCACTTCCTAGATTACTGGAACAGCTTCCTGACTTGTACTAGAATTATGATTTCCTAATGAAAAGCCGCCAATGGCACCTAATTCCTTTCTATGTCACAACAAAATGCTTGCTTCCCTTCCTGCTGCTCCTGCACTGACCCTATTCCTTTGTCTGTAAGGCTTGGCTCAAGATTCATATTCTCCAATATGACTTTTTTTTTTTTTTTTGAGTTGGAGTCTCACTCTGTCGCCCAGACTGGAGTGCAGTGGCCGCTCCCAGCCACCACAGCCTTGAACTGCTGGGCGCCGGCGATCCTTCTGCCTCAGCCTTCCAAGTAGCCGGAATTGTGGCTCAGCCTGTAATCCCCTACCTTTGGGAGGCTGAGGTGCGTGGATTGCCTGAGCCTGCGGGTTCGAGACCCGCCTGGGCAGGCAAGACCTCATCTCTACAATAAAACCAATATGACTTTCTTAATGGCTTCAGCCACAAGGATATCTCCCTCTGAAACCCTACAGCCCTTACAACACGTTTCACTCAAATAAATGTGAGCTGCCCCAGGTCATATTAATTAGCGGAAGAGCTAGGGACAGAACACTTTGTTCTTGAGATGAGGCTCTTTCCTCTAAATCACAGTGCCTATGCTGCCGAGCTAAGGGTTCACTTTTCCAGAGGTCACTAATATTTAGGGGTAGAGGTGCTCTGGTACTCAGGAAATTAGCTGAGTTGTGATTAACACCCCAGCAACTTGCCTCTTGGAGGCTGGAGCTCTCCTGCTGAACCATAGCTGCATGGCAGGCCAGAATTCTTGATTTGACATATCCCAAGCTGACTTCTCAGCTGACCAAAGGCAGAGGTGATGCTCCCAGTGCCTGCAGAGCCAGGTCCAAACTCCTCACCTTGCATTTGACACCCTTCACTGGCAGCCCTCACCACACTCTGCCAAAAATAACATTTACTCACCATCCTTTTAAGACAATTCGCACCACTCCTTTGTTGACCAGAAAGGCTCATCCTTTGCTGCTTGTTTTCTTTTCTTTTTTTTTTTTGTTTTGTTTGTTTTTTTTGAGTTGGAGTCTCACTCTGTCGCCCAGACTGGAGTGCAGTGGCTGCTCCCGGCCACCGTAGCCTCGACCTGCTGGGCTCTGGCAATCCTTCCTTCTCAGCCTTCCAAGTAGCCGGAATTACAGGCTTGCGCTACCATGCCCAGCTGATTTTTTGATTTATTACAGAGATGAGGTCTCGCTGCCCAGGCGGGTCTCGAACCCGCGGGCTCAGGCAATCCACTCACTTCAGCCTCCCAAAGGCGCGGGATTACAGGCTGAGCCACCGAGCCCGGCTACTCCTTGTTTTCTTGACCACTCCAAGATCTGTCTTGTTTGTTCATAGAGGACACTATGATTGTCCAAATCTTGCTTTGCCAATAGCTTTACCCATGATGACTATCCCCTGGTATTATCAATAGCTTCACCTCTTCCACAATTTTAAGTATGACCAACACCTCCAATCTTTCCAGTTCAGTAAATGACTCCAATTAGCCTTTGACAGCATCCCCTAACCTCATTCTCAGCTCTCCATATTTGGCCTATTTCCTCACCCCTCTTATCCAGTATGGGTCTATGGATTATTATGCAGGTGGCCTCAATGCCATGCTATGCGCTTATCTCCCTTAATCACACTCACCTGGAAAAAATTCTCTACCTGGGTGAAGTCCAGCTCTTAAAATTCAACTTATCCCCCATTCTGTACCTGCACCAGTATACACAGCCGATAGAAAGCACACAACAAAGCTGACCAGTTTATTTAAAATTTGGGACTACTAATCTCATCAGCCCCTGTCCCCTATCAAGCCCTCTTCACTTCCCTAGCATTCCTTTGCCACAAGGACTATCACACCTTTTCATCTCTCTCCAAATTTCTAACATTCCTTCCTCATCCTCACTCTAGCTGGGCAAATAGAAACAAATCAGAAGAGAATGTCAGTAAGAATCTACCAGCATCTCTGTATCTGTGTGCACCCAGCTCTCCCTCTGCTGCTGTGGGTGGGCAGCTTGTGCTCCTATTAAATATGCACCTGCATCCCCTTTGTGCTCTAGACTCTGCTTCCTCTCATTTTCTCCAGAACATCATTCCAACAACTATTCTCTCATTTCTCCTGCATTACCAATTCTTCCCTCTCCCGGAAAATTCCCATCAGTAGTTAAAATGCTGTAATTTCTCACCTTAAAAAAAAAAAAAAGCCCCTCGACTTCACAGTCCTCTCCTGCAGCTGTCCCAATGTTCTGCCGTTCTTTAGAGAAGATTCTTTCAAAAAGTTATTTATGTGGTTATTTCCAGTTCACAGCAGCATTATTTCTAATAGTAAATACTGGAAATAACCCAAATATCCAAGAATGAGGGGATTAAGGCTAAGAAACTCAATAGACTATTATTTAGACACTAAAATGCATTAAAAGTTTTCATGAAAATGAATATTATAAAACAAACTTCATAGTATACATCAGCTACATACATGTCATGATCTTAATTTTGCAGAAAAAAAAAAGATTGGAATATACATCATCTCAGCTGGGATTGGTGGCTCAGCCTGTAATTCCGTGCCTTGGGAGGCTGAGGTGAGTGGACTGCCTTAGCCCGCGGGTTCAAGACCTGCCTGGGCAACTTGGCGAGACCTCATCTCTATAATAAATCAAAAATCAGCTGGGCATGGTAGCGCGCACCTGTAGTCCCAGCTACTTGGAAGGCTGAGGCGGAAGGACGGCCGGAGCCCAACAGGTCGAGGCTGCGGTGGCCGGGAGCAGCTACTGCACTCCAGTCTGGGCAACAGAGTGAGACTCAAAAAAAAAAAAAAAGAAAATACATCATCTCATGTCACCTGCATAGACTTACTGTGCTCACATACCTGCTCCTCAGATTTTACATTCAGCTCATCCCGAGACACTAACTCAAGCACATCTTCCAAGGGCAGAGCCAGGAACTCTTCCGACATAGACACTTCCACAAAGTGCTGGTGGATGAAGCTGTTGGCTGCGTCGTAAAGCACAGCACACATCATTGTCTCAGCAAACTGGCGCACACCCAGGCAATTTTTTGGGTGAAGCCTTTGGCATAAGAAAAGATGGAAAGAAAAAAAAAATCAGAGGAAAAATATGTTATCTTTGATCATTCTCAGGCTGATTCTGGGTATAGCTACTGAATGAAAACAAATTTTGTCTTCAGCTTTGGAATAAACTCTCTGAGACAAACTTCTGAAAAACCTGCTTGCTTCATTCCACCACCGACCTTCCTGGTTGAGTGTCCAGAGCACTATTTCACCTTTGGTCACAAAAGAAGGCACTGAGGTTATAGAACTAAAGAGTTTAAAACATGTGGAAAGTCAACTCTAATATCAGAATCCTAATACTTTTTTCCTTTTTAAATTTCTTTTAATTTAATTTTATTTTTTGAGTTGGAGTCTTACTCCATTGCCCAGGTTGGAGGGTAGTGGCATGCTCATGGCCACCCCAGTGTCAACCTGCTGGGCTCCAGTGATCCTTCCACCTCGGCCTTCCAAATAGCCGGAACTACAGGCGTGCATTACCGTGCCCAGTTAATTTTTTATTTATTGTAGAGACAAGGTCTCGCCAAGTTGCCCAGGCTGGTCTCGAACCCGCAGGCTCAGACAGTCCACTCGCCTCAGCCTCTCAAAGTGCTGGGATTACAGGTGAGCCACCGAGCCCGGCTCTTTTTTCTTTTTCTAGACAGAGAGAGGCTCTAGACATCTGGAAACAACAGCAGAAACTATCATTTTTTTACTACCATCAGTGAGTCAAATACTTTGCTGGGCCTTTTATACATATTCTATAGAATCTTAACAATGCTGCAAAGTAGTAATTGCTCTCATTTTATAGATGGAAAACTGAGACTCAGAGAGATCAAAAAAGATGTTCATTATTCCCTTGACAAGCAAGTGGCAATGCTGAGCTTGAACCTAGGCCTCTTGTGCACATTCCCATGGCACCAAGTCAGACCTACACTCATCAGGGCCAAGTAAACCTGGGTAAATCCTAGTTCTGGTGCTCATTGGGCAGCTTGGGTATGTTCCTTAAGTTCTCCCAAGTGTCAATAATTTCCTCACCTGAAAAAAGATGACAATAGCTACGGATCCCTTAGGGTTATGGTCATGATTAAGTAAGAATGTGGGCAAAAGCACGTTCCATTGATAGTTGTGTGACATTATCTGCTGTTTTAACTTCTATTATAGTTGTTTTTCTCACCACTGTTGCATGTGAGAAAATTCCAAATGAAATCAGTGTGGTTCTAAAACCTTGGTGGTAGCAGTAGACCCTGGGGAATAGACCTTTTTTTATTTTGTGACTGATAATCTGTGAAGAGAGATGGTATTTAACAGATTAAAACTTGCCCAGGATTCCTTTCTTCATTAGCCTGCTTTCTCTCTTTTTCTCCTATGTTGATTTGAGATTATAGGCATAGAGTTATATTTACTTAGCAATAATCATCATGGCCCCCAGCAGCAGGATCTGTCAGGGAAGGAAAGGGTAGAGTATCTCAGGAACCTAGCTTTCTGACTAGTCAAAATTCAACATAGTTGCTTCATTCCAGCCTGAGCTTGTGCTGTCCATTGCTTTGGAAGTCTATGTGTATTTCCAAAGGCCAAGAAAACATGAGCAGGGAGCAACGCATAGGCAAGGCTCATGTACAGTGAGGAATATAGGGCTCAAGGTCAGAGTGTCAGCTCAGTCATCTATCAAGTAATGGTCTTCTCTTAAAGCACTTATGGTGATTGAATGAAACTTGTTAAAGCCCTTTACAAATTCAAGGCAGATATGAGAAGAGACCTTCCCCAGGCGACAACAGTACATGCTTCACTATTTCCTATCACTTTGACATCAACTCAAGAGGAGGATTCAAAACACCATGAATTGGGAGTTGGATAGAGTCCCAAGATGTGGAAGAGAATGATATACAGTTATGGCATTCATTTCCATTCTCTCCTTCTCAGGTTAGGTTTCCTGTACCCAAACTTTGGCTGTATTTGATTAGCTTAGCATAATACTTTGCACAAAACATACTTTCTCAGCTGAACGGGGCTTTCACATCCAAGAGCATGGGATGTGAGAAGCTTGTTTTTGAGGCAATCAGTGGGAAAGAGGAGGGAAAGCTGCCACAATGAAAAGGCACGCATTCAGAAGGAGGAGGGAGACAGGAGGGAAAATAAACCTCAAAGGTAGATGAAGATCCACATCTTTCATTTGCCACTTTCACTGGCCTTCTTCCTTGCTGACATAGCTCGACTTTGTAAGCAAGGAGGCTGCATAAGATGTAATGCTTTACCAGAGGCAGGAAGCGAGACTTAAATTAAGCAAGTTATTGACTTAGTTCTCTAATGCATTTGATGTTCCAATCTATCTCTGAGAGACGTTTCAGAAAATACACAGCTTCAGTGCTTGCCTAAAAGCAAGAAGGCCCACATACCTGAAGGCTAGAAAAAAGGCCATAAGAAAAAGCTAGCCTCAGCCTCAGGGAGAAAAGGCAGCAGGTTAAAGATCTAGTAGGTGGAGTGGTCTCGGGAACAATTGCTCTAATAACTTTTATGGCATTATAGCTTCTATGCCGTCTCATCCTATCTTTTCCACTCCTGCTTAGAATCATTTTCCTTAAGTCACTGGCAATCAAACCTTGAAAAGGATGCACCCATGTGCATGACTTCAAGGGCACACAGGAAGGGAGAAGCTGGGAGACACCACCACATTCTGCCAGGCTCAGGGAGAACTACTCCAAGGAACAGAGACAATAATGGCAACTACTGGAGAGAAAATAGAAATCAGACCATGCCTCTGGGGTCTGCAACGAGAAATAAAGACAGGAATGAAGTGTAGGTTTAGATTTCAGAAGGGATCCTGCAGAGCTGAATGAAAAAATGTCAAGGACAGTCTCAAAACACCAGGCTCATGTTTAAGTACCAGTTCCCAAAATGTTTATTGGTGCATGTAAAAAGTGCACTGGTCTAAAAATCACTATTCTAAGCATCTTTTAGATGATAGTACTTTACAGCACAGCCTGGATCCAGTGTTGATGACCTCAAAAGCCCCTAGGTGGAGCTGTTGTCCTTTAGTAAGGACAAGATTATGGCCAACCTTTCCTTTCCAGAGTGCCTACTTAGAAAGCCAATCTCCAAGTTCTGGGGGAACAAAGAAATGAACTAAGTCCAGACTGTGTCTTAAGCAGCTCACAAATGAGTAGGGAAGACAAGCCCATATGTGCTCCTCCAGCCTGCCCTAGAAGGCATCCCAGGGCAGGGACAAGCTTGGCTCTGGAGCTACACTCTCGTAAGGTTTCCATCTGTAAAACTGGGAACAGTACCATCTACCTCAAGATGAAACCACTCACCCGGTGGCCCCTGCATCTCAGGCATCATTAGCATGGTTATTTGACTAGCTGCACACACAGCTGGCTTAATGTGATGCCCATGAGCACCATGGGGGCAGGATGTGGACAGCAGGCAGGGTCCACAGAGCTAATGGCATTGTTGGAGCAAGATTGGAGGAAGGGAAGGTCACCTCTAAGAGAGGATGAGGTTCAGGAGGGCAGATATGAGTCAGGAGGAATGCTGGTCTTCAGGCCAGGAAACTGGTGATCAGAGTAGACTCAGGTGGAGGTTGGACGTGGGAAAGCACCATAAACATAGCAGCACTGTTCTGGTTTCTCCCTGTCTATGTGTAGCCCAGCATTAACCCTCTCAAGACTCTGGTGGCTAAAAGGCTTTTACCTTATGACTAAGGGCTTTGTTTCTTGAGGGAGAGGAAAAGCCTTCTCATCTGCTTAGTCGAAAGGTCACAGGAGACCCACGAGGCCCATTGCCAAGTGCTGGTAATAGGAGGGGCTATAATTCATGGTCCCTACTCTAAAAGAGCACACAGTGATTGTTCCCAGTAGACTAAGGAGGATAGAGAATTCTAGGAGGTGAAATGTGGGTGGGCTGTTAAAGAGTTGAAGTAAAAAAGGTCAAGAAATTCAAGGAAGGTGAAGATGGAGATAGCTATGGAATAGTTAGTGAGCACTGAACAAATCTGTTTGGTGAGAAATTAGTTAAATTAGTGGTTAGTGAGACTGGAGAGAGAGGATCAGAAGAGGTATATGTCAAGCCAAGGGAGAAGGCAGGCAGGAATATATAAAACATGTTCCGAAAAGGTTCATTCCAAAGAAGTGGGCACTGCTTGATACTAATTTCAAGAACTGCCATTTCTGCAGAGTAACCTTTTCAGCTCACTCACTTCGAGAAACTCTATATGTCCCAAGGACTCAGCAAAATGGCAGAGGATTTCAGAAATGAAATACGTATGGCTCCCCACCATGGGCCAGGTCCACCACATCACCTCACCGTTCTCGGAGGAATGTGCAGCAGGCGTCTTTGATGCTCTGCAGCTGCAGGAAACTTGCCCCCATCAGCAACGACTGGACATTTTGTTGGTCAATCGCAAGGTTGCCATTATAGGCAAAGTTGATCAGAGCTTCCAGGGCACTAGAGGAAAGAGGGAAAGTCATAAGTCTTGGCTCAGAGATTCAGGCCCTAACTGAACTGACATTACTACCTGGAGAACAGATGGGTCCTGGCTGTAAAATCCATTTAGCCCATGCTCTTTGATAATCTATCTAAATGGAATACTTATTTCATCACAGACAAAAACTCTTTCTACTAAGCTGTCTTCATTGCCCAAGTAATTTTATTACAGAGAATTCAAAAAAGGGAAATACAACCCACAATGTCACTGCTAAAAATGTCAATGGTGGTCATGTTTCTAGGTTTGTTTTCAATCCCTGTTTGCCTATATGCATGAATTATATGAATATAATCATAAAATACTTATGAAGCTTTCTCCTGTTGCTACACTGTCTTCATGTTTATTGTTTTTCGTGGCTGCTATATGATATTTCAACATGTAAATACGCTTTAATTTTTGTCCTTTATTGGTATGCATAATAACTCTAACCATCTTATTGCCATTGGAATGTTTTTGAATTATTATTTCTTTGGGTTAAATTTCTAGAATAAGATTTCTGACAATGAAATCTAAATTTCATCTATGGGGCTGTATATGCTCTGGTCTGATCTCAACACCCTTCACTCTGATGCTTCCTCACTCTATTCCAACCTTCTGAACATATTTTCTTTTTTTTAATTAAAAAAAATTTTTGGGCCAGGTGTAGTGACTCCCCGCTATAATCCCAGCACTTTGGGAGGCCGAGGTGAGAGGATTGCCTAAGCCCATGGGTTCGAGACCAGCTTGGGCAACTTGACGAGACCTCATCTCTATAGTAAATCAAAAAATTAGCTGGGTGTGGTGGTATACAACTATATTTCCAGTTATTTGGCTCATACCTATAATCCCAGCACTTTGGGAAGCTGAGGCAGAAGGATCACCTGAACACAGAAGGTCAAGGCTGTGGTGGCTGTGAGCATGCCACTGCACTCCAGCCTGGGTGACAGAGTGAGACTCCAACTAAAAAAACAGAAAAAATTTTTTGGTAGAGATGAGGTCTTGCCATGTTGCCAAAGCTGGTCTCAAATTCCTGGTCTCAAGTGATCCTCCTGTCTTAACCTCTAAATGCTGGGATTATAGGTGTGAGCTACTGCACCCGTTCTCTGAACACATTCTCACCTCAGGGCCTTTTCACTGCCTAGTCCTCTGTTTAGAAGGCTCTTTCCCCAGATGGCTCACTCCTTCATGTCAGTTAAGGACTCAACTCAAATGCCACCACCTGTGAGAGGCCCTCCCTGGTCACTTTGAAATAGTACAGACCCCCTCTCCCCCACCCTTCACTAGCCTTTATTCTGCTTTACTTTTCTCACATTGCATTTGTTCCCAGCCATACATGTATTTGTATTTGGTTACTGCCAGAAAGGCGGCACTACTAGAAAGTCGGCACAATGAGGAGAGGTGCTATTTTCTCACTGCTATACCTCAGCGCCTACTGTGCACATCAGAGATGTTCAGTCAGTCTCTATTGAATGAAATGCCTGGACGTGGGATTAGCACGGCTCCTTCAGGCACACACTGCAGAGAAGAGGAGCATACAACTTCCCCTGGAGACCTACTTCTGTGTCTTTCCCTACAAGCAGCTGACCCGAGATTTCTACCTTGCTGTGGGTATACAAATCCTTTCCATGAACTGGGGCAGATCACCGTCAATCATCCAGGGTACCACACAGTCTCCTAACTCATTCTCCCTCATTTTCATCACAATGAAATTAAGATGTTAGGCAACAACTGACTATAGGCTGACAGGATAACCTTGGGCATGGTCTCCTTGGGCTTCAATTTTCTGATCCATGAAATAATCATAGTATCTGTCACATTCTAGACCTGTGTTGTCCAATATAGTAGCCATTAGCCACATGAGGCTATTTAAAATGAAATAAAATTGATTAAAGTCTAATACAATTGAAAATTCAGTTTTTCAGTCCCACCAGTCACATTTCAAGTGCTCAATAGCCATCTGTGGCTAGTAGCTACCATTTTGGACGGTACAGATAGAAATAATATTTCCATCACTGCAGAAAGTTCCAAAGGACACTGTTCTAGACTGATGGGAAGGGAAGTTAACGAAGACACTTATTTGAAGAACTATTTTGCCAGCAGAAATGGCTAGCCCAGAAAAGTACAGAGAAGAATATACCACCACCTGTACCCAGCCCCAGCTAAAAAAAAAAAAATCTTGGAGTCTAGGTCCTATTAAATGTGTTACTCTAATAGCACTAAAACTCCCTTCATTTTAACCCTATCTCTTGGCCACTGGCTGATATTCTAATCTGTGGAGCTATGCTCCTAGATACTATGTCCTGCTGCAGGCCCTCAATGGCACCAAGTATAGGCTGCAACTGCACCTGGAAAGTAGCCTATGAAACCTGATGGTGGGATTGAGTACCTTGGGTCCATTCCTTGCATTACAATCTCATCCTGCTTGCACTCCATCATGTCATTTGTAAACATAGCATGGAAGTATGGGATCGAGGCTGCTAAGACGATCCGGTGAGCGCTGAATTTGTGGTCACCAATCTGTGGACAAAGTAAAATGCAAAGACAGATACTGAGGAATGCAATATAAAAACCCAACCCACCCCACTTCCATGGTTTACTCCACTGCCCACTGCAATGGCACTGAAGGCATGGTTAAAAAGCATAAGCCTGAATGCTTCATGTAGTAGTAGTTTGCACTTCCATGGCAGCCTCTATGCATCCCTCACAACTCCTCTACCCATCCAAATACCTGATTCCTTTAAGAATTCATCCCAATTCCAGTTTTATTAGAAGGCAAATAAAACAGACAAACCTACTGTCTAAGTACGCTGGAGCACCTAACAGTATGTTCCTCTAGAAAAGTAAATATATAGTGACAGGAAGAAATGAGAAGAAACCAGACCAGACTTGAATTAGGGCTGTGTGAGGGGACCAAGGAAAGAGCAGACATCGTGAGTTCAAACACTGGAGGGTCCCTGGGCACCAAGCAGAATGTGGTAGGCAACAAGGAGCCCAGAGTTCCTCCGGGAGAAACAACGCTGGCAGCCACCAGCAGGAATCGCCCCTTCTGTTGACTGGCTGGTGCTCTGTGAGGCCCACAGGGGCAACAGGGCCAACTCTTTTTCCAATTTGTATCAAACACTCACTGACACACCCTTAGCCTGAGGAATTCTATAAAGCGTTTTCCAACAATTGCCAAAAGGCTATTCCCTTCAATAAGCCTTGCCATTTATAGCTCCAAGCTATGCAAACATTTCTACTTAAGAACTTTCCATTCTCCAGGAAGAGCAAAACAGTCTTTTTCTTTTTTCCTTTCCAGAATAGTGAAATGCTAGAGTATCTCACTACCTGATATTCATCTTCTTGTGTCAGGCTTATTCAAGGATTCTAGCTCAGGTTCAAACAGCCAAAGGATCCTTATCAGATTCAAGTGCTATTAGTTCCTCATATAATCCAGGTGTTGCTCTACTACTAATGTCAGGAACATTAAACAGCCACATGCTTTGGAGGTTTTCGTAATTTAAAAAAGAACAGTAATACATGTACATATTTCTTAAAGTTGTTCTACACAGTTTTTAAAGAAAACTGGCAAATCTCTGTTTACCCAATTCCATCCTGAATCTTGCTCCCAGGGGCAACCTCTTTCTTCTGGTACTTATCTCCACCTTTCTAAATAATATGCCTGGCAACATGGTGAGACCTTGTTTCTACAATAAATCTACAAAAAAAAAAATTAGCCAGGCATGGTGGTGCATGCCTGTAGTTCCAGCTACTTGGAAGGCTGAGGCAGAAGGATCGCCTGAGCCCAGCAAGTTGAGGCTGCAGTGGCTGTGAGCAGCAT